CTTGTGTTGGGCTGACTTAGGTTATAGGGGATGAGAAGTGGTGTGTTGCCTTGTGTTGAATTGTAATTTGTGGTAAATTGTAAGTAACTGGAATCAATTGGTTTTTGCTGAATACGGTCAAGTTGAATGGGGTTGTAATGTGTTGGTGGTGAGGTTGTGCTAAGCTGGGTTATGTAGGTTTATTTCAGGTGGCTTGACTGAGTTGGGTTAAGTAGATTTGGTTGGGTTTAGTTGGCTTGGCCGGAATGAAACTGATTGATATCCATCTATTGAGGAGGGTTTAGAACCATGTCCTGTCCATCAAAGAGAACTGAAAAGCTCTATATTTAGGGCCAAAACCCACAATGGAGGGAGCCATTTAGCATTTGAGGAGGTGTAACCCAAACAAATGGTCTTTCCACCTCTGCTAAAATCTAGTTTACTGGCTGGAGGGATGGCAATGAGGGTATTAAGGTTTGGATATTCCAAAGGTCACAAGGTTTTTATGCAATTCTGGCATCTCTGTTGGTCCTATTCCATTCATCCTTTTGCAAAGCATCCCGGAGCTTCCTACATGTGCTGGATGCTGGAGATCAAAGGATGAATAATGCCCCATGTCTGTTCTTAAGGACCTAACGATGCCACACAATGACTGTTTACTATAATATTATCTCTCTTGAGCAAACTCTTCATCCTCAAATCTGGCTACCAGTGAAGCAACTGCCAACACTCTGAGCCCAGGACACTGAAACAATGGAGAATATCCACGAGCACAAAAAATACTTTTGGCCAGGAGTGGTGGCTCCCAGCACTCTGGGAGGCCAAGGCAGGCTAGTCACTTGAGCTCAGAAGCCCAACAGCAGCCTGGGCAACCTGGTGAAGCCCCATCTCTACAAAAAGAATACAAAGCTAGCCGGGTATGGCATGGGCCTGTAGTCCCAGCTACTCGGTTGGCTTCAGCCTCCGAGGCAAAGCTTGCAGAAAGCCAAGATCATGCCGCTACATTCCAGCCTGGGCAATAGAGCCAGACCCTGTCTCAAACACATACACACACACACACACACACACACACACACATGCACAAACAAAACACACTTTTTAAACAAATTAATTAAAAAAAAAAAAACCTCTAGCAAGTCTGATTAAGGGAAAAAATGGAGAACGGAAGTGAGAAGGGAGAGTTATACACCGTAAGTCTTTTAACTAGGAAAACAGCAGAGTTTTTACAAATTATTTCAAAAATACTACAAGCAGCATACCACTGATACATTTGAAACTTAAATAAAATGAATAATTTGAAAGAAATAAAAATGGCCAAAATTGGCACAAGAAGAAAAAACGTTAGACTTAAAAGTCTAATATCCATTAAAAACTGTATGAAATCTCTATTATCCCCTCTCCTGACCATTGCAACCTGCGAGCTTAAAATTTTAGAAACCTGTTATGTCCAACCTTTAAGGTACAGGTAAATCCAATGGTCTGCACATTACTCTAAAGAATAAGAAAGGTGGGGCATAATCCAAATTCATTTGAAGCTAATAAGATCTTTGTGGCCGAGGCGGGTGGATCATGAGGTCAAGAGATCGAGACCATCCTGGTCAACATGGTGAAACCCCGTCTCTACTAAAAAAAAATACAAAAACTTAGCTGGGCATGGTGGTGCGTGCCTGTAATCCCAGCTACTCAGGCGGCTGAGGCAGGAGAATTGCCTGAACCCAGGAGGCGGAGGTAGCGGTGCGCCGAAATCGCGCCATTGCACTCCAGCCTGGGTGACTTGAGTGAAACTCCGTCAAAAAAAAAAAAAAAAAAAGATCTTTGTACCAAAATCCACTAAGAACAATACAATTAAAGAAATCTATATAAAAAAAAAAGACTTGAAAGTATGAAATGGAAAACTAGGAAGTCAGATTCAGTAATATTTTAGAAAATATATTATGAAAGGATAGGATGGATCTAAGGAATGCAAGGATGGTTCCATATCAGAAAAATTGTTAATATAATACACCACATTAAAAGAGAAATTCACATAATTTGCTAAATATATTCTGAAAAAATTCAATCCTCATTTGTAATTCAAATTGTCATTAGAGGAGGAATTGAAGGGAAGTTTCCAAGAGAATTTATAGATAAGGTTTTAGGACTAATAAGAACAGTCAGTGAGATTGCAAAATATAAGATCAGCATTCAAAAATCAGCAGTGGCTTCTGCTTTTGAGGGAGATATAATAGGTCACGGTAAGACAGCATTTGTGCTGACAGCTAGACAACACTTGATGAATACAGAAATAGTATTTTTAAGGAAACCTAGAACTGCGAAAGCAAAGAAAAAAAGTATAAGGCTACAGTTCCAGAATAATAAGAACCATTCAGAAATGGGCAGTTTCAACCTGGAGGCATTACTGATATTGGGCTCAGGCTGAGCATCTTCACTCGCCCAGACAGAGGGTAACTGCTGGGGCAAATCCAAAACAGTGGAGTTCAAGGGTGGGCAGTGGGAGTGGTCTGCCCGAGGTGCAGGCAACACACGCACGCAGAGATGGTGGAGAACTTACAAACGATAATAGGGCCGGCTGTGGTGGCTCACGCTTGTAATCTCAGCACTTTGGGAGGCCGAGGCAGGCGGATCACCTGAGGTCAGGAGTTCAAGACCAGGCAGACCAACATGGAGAAACTCTGTCTCTAGCAAAAATACAAAATTAGCCAGGTGTGGTGGCGCATGCTTGTAATCCCAGTTACTCTGGAGATTGAGGCAGGAGAATCACTTGAACTCGGCAGGTGGAAGCTGCAGTGAGCCGAGATCATGCCACTGCACTCCAGCCTGGGCAACAAAAGAGAAACTCCATCTCAAAAAAAAAAAAAAAAAAAGAAAAAAAAAAAGAAACTGATAAAACTAACTGTCAATCTACTTTTCATTATCACCATGAGTCAGTAATTCTAAACAATTACAGAGATAAAATGCTCCCATCCCCCAATTATTTTTTTATAAGTTCTAAACAATTGCTGCACTTACTGTTACGGTTTAATAATAAATGTAAACTTTAGCACATTTTAAAACTTATCTTTTAATGAATATTGTATTCTTCATGGAAGCTAATTCAGAAAACTCAAGTATATAGTCAGCTTTGACTATACACAACTTTGGCTAAGGCATTCATTCAAAATTAAGTTCATAATGACTCAGAGTCATCTGCGCTTATTTGGGCTAAAGTGTGTGTCTCCCACCTCTGCACTATTTCATATTCCTTCACTTACAGATTTCAAATAAGCAATGGTAGTAAAGAACTTGAGTTACTTAAATTCCATCATTCTATATGAGACCACTTGGAGATTTTACTTACATAAATTTTAAAACAGTTAAGTTTAAAAACAGAGCATAGGCCAGGTGCAGCGGCTCATACCTGTAATCCCAGCACTTTGAGAGGGTGAGGCAGGTGGATCTCCTGAGGTCAGAAGTTCGAGACCCTCCCGGCCAACATCGTGAAACCTCATGAAAAATACAAAAAATATTAGCCAGGCATGGTGGCGCACACCTATAATCCCAGCTATTTGGAAAGCTAGAGAGAAGAATTGCTTGTACCTGGGAGGTGGAGGTGGCAGTGAGCCAAGATCACACCACTGCACTCCAGCCTGGGAGACACAGGGAGGCTCTGTCTCAAAGTAAAATAAAATAAAATAAAAAAAAAAAAGAGCATTAACTATGAGAAGTAACAGTTTTGTTTAGGAAGCACAAAGTTAAGTTCACCTGGAAAACATTGAATTTGAAGAGTATTTATTAAATGGAAAAATTTAACAATTAAATCTAATTAACAATTTAAAATTTAATTGACAATTTAAAAATTCAGTTGTTAATTATTTATGGTAAGACCAAAGAACAAATTAAGAAAATAATAGCTTAGCTGTTTCTAATTGTTACACGGTTATTACTCAAAGTAATTTTATCATATGAAAAAAGAGGCGGTGTTAATAAATTATTCACTCTGGGTGTTCAACACATGAGGCGAGGCGTAACACTGAGAAACAAAAAAACCTTCATCAGTGGTGGGGCTGTGGTGATGACATTTGAAATTTTAAAGGCCAGTTTTCTCTACCCACAAGATGTTCTCTGATGACTTTCACTACTTCCTGGGAGGCCAAAGAGCAAGGCCAAAAGCTTCTAAAAAGCAGAGGGAAATTTCCCACAGTATCACAATACAGTCGTCCCTTGGTATCCATGGGGCACTGATTCCAGGACCCACCTCCTGCCTGCCACGGATACCAAAATCTGAGGAAGCTCAAGTTCCTTATATAAGCTACGTGCATACGTCTTCCGATATACTTTAAATCATCTCTAGATTAGTTATAATACCTAATCTGATGGAAACACCACGTAAATAGTTACGGCTCTATTGTCTTTTGTGTTTTTTAAATTGTTGTATTATTTTTTATGGTTTTTCTTTTCTAAATATTTTTATCTAGAACCTGTTGAATCTGCAAATGTGGAACCCATAGGTCTCAAGGGTTTGCTATGCTTAAGAAAGAAGACCGTCCAGGAAAATGGGGATGGCAAAGTAGAAACAGGAGAACCAGAGAGGAAAGTACCGAAGTGAACGGGGAATATTAATGTGAGAGTGCCCAGCTCCGCCTGGTTTGCCTGGGGCTATTTCAGCCTTTTTTTTTTTTTTTTTTTTTTTGAGGTGGAGTTTTGCTCTTGTCCCCAGGCTAAAGTGCAATGGGACTATCTCAGCTCACCCACAACCTGTGCCTCCCGGGTTCAAACGAGTCTGCTGCTTCAGCCTCCTGAGTAGCTGGGATTATAGGCACCCGCAACCACATCCAGCTAATTTTGTATTTTTAGTAGAGACGGGGTTTCACCATGTTGGTCAGGCTGGTCTCGAACTCCTGACCTCATGTGATCCGCCCGCCTTGGACTCCCAAAATACTGAGGCATGAGCCACCGCGCCTGGCGCTATTTCTGTTTTAAAGCAGAAAGTCCTGTGTGCCAAGAATCCGCTCAGTCCCAGGCAAACTAGCTTGGTTGGTTACCTCCATGAACACAGAGGATCAAGGACTCTTTCCCCTGAGAGCATTTGCTTATCCAGGAATAGCTGGCAGCTGAGATCTCAGGACTGGATCCTAGGAGAAGAAAACTGTTGGGGAAGTGAGGAATCAGCAGAGATGTAGACATTCAATCAGAACAGCTGTGAGCAGTTGGAGACTGAGGGGTCACCAGCACAGGGACAGATTCCCCCTTAAGACATTTGTTGAAGTTGTGCAGGCAACAGACTAAAGAGCTATACTGAAAACCTCTGAAGGGCAGAACAAAATCTTCGTAAGCCTAGCAAAACTGAGGATAAACATAGCTGCTAGCCTTTCAGTTAAAAACACTAGAGGGCTGTGCCCAGAAACAGGGCAAATCAGAGGCACACTAGACCTTACTGACCCTGCAGCCTCACAACTGCAAATACAAGTGCTTGTTGGATTGAGGTGATCAGCACTCCACCCTATCAGACTAAAGGCCATTGTGCTTTCCTCTGGCAGACAATAACTTAATGTAATATTCTACCATTTATCATTTCCAACATAACATTTAAAAGTAGTAGACGTGTGAATATGCGAGATGCTATGAAATAAAAAAACAGACACTAGAAGAAGAACCACAGTTGACAAAGTTATTAGAATTAGCAGACAAGGACTTTCAATAACTATGATTTTTAACAAAATAGATTAGAAGATGAAGAATTTCACCAAAAAAAAATGGAGGCTATTTTTTAAAACAATCAAATGTACATTTTGGAAGTGAAAATAAAATATTTGAAATTAAGAACTCAACGGACGCAGACTTTTTAAATGACAGAGGAGTGAATCCTCCTACAGATAACAAATATAAACACTAGATAAAACAAAATCCATCTGAAGATGCTAGAGATGAAATTGACCCCAAAAGATGTAATTAAAAGTGATAGAAATTGCAGTTTGTGACTTTCTAACTTGAGGATACTCCCCAAACCTCAGAGCTGTATATATAATATATAGTATATACATACAATACATACATGTTATATATACATGTAATTTGACTAGTACAAATATCTAGGACTAGTACAAATATCTAGGAATGACCACATGAGTGGTCATTCCAATCCTAGATTAGAATAGAAATAGAGTGGTCATTCATATATCTTTTCATGTGCTTATTTACTATATCTTCACTGGATGCTTGAAAAGATATTCAATATCCTTATTCATTAGGGAAATAAAAATTAATATCACAATAATGTGCTACTGCACACTTATGAAAATGACTGAACTTTAAAAACAAAACTGACCATACCAAGTGTTGGTAAAGACATGGTGCGGGGGAACTCTAATACACTGTTGATGGGAATATGAATGGAACAGCAACTTTGGAAAAAAGTCGAGCCACTTCCAGAAATTTAAACATATACCTACCATATGATACAGTTATTCCACTCCTGGATATCTGAATTAGTCAGGGTTCACCAGAGAAATAGACCAAAATATTTCTAAATTTATATTTATACACATAAAGATTTATTATAAGGAAAGTGATTTATTATAAGGACTCACACATTTATGGAGGCTGAGAAGTCCCAAATCTGCAGTCAAGAAGGTGGAGACTCAGGAGAGCCAATGTATGGCTCCACTTCAAGTCCTAAGAGAGCAGAGGTTTCAGTCTGAGTCCAAACACCAGTAAAAACCAAGGGTCCAGCTCAAGCATTCAGGCAAGAGGAGTTACCTCTTACTCAGTCTTTCTGTTCTATTCACATCTTCAGTGGGTTGAATGAGGTCCACCCACATAATGGAGGGTGATATGGTTAGGATATTTGTCCCATCTAAATCTCAGGTTGAAATGTAATCTCCAGTGTTGAAGGTGGGACCTGGTGGGAGGTGTCTGGGTCATGGGGACAGATCTCCTGTGAATGGCATGGTGCCATCCCTATGGTAATGAGTTCACATGAGATCTGGTTATTTAAAAGAGCCTGGCACCCCACCTCTCTCTTGCTTCCTATCCCACCACATGACCACCTGCTGACCCTTTGCCTTCTGCCATGACTGTAAGATTCCTAAGGCCCTCACCAGAAGCAGATGCCAGCACTGTGCTTCTTGTACGGACTGCAGAATCCTAAGCCAAAATAAACCTCTTTTCTTTATAAAGTACCCAGTCTCAGGTACTCCTTTATAGCAACATAAGTGGACTGACAGAGAGGGAAATCTACTTTGCTCAGTCTGCCGACACAAATGTTATCATCCAGAAACACCCACACAGATACACCCAGAAAACTGTCTGGCTAAATGTCTAGGCAACCTGTGGCCCAGTGACGCTGACACAACTTAACCGTCACAGTATTTACCCAAGAGACAAAGCACGTGTACCTATATGGATTAGTACATAAATGTTCACAGCAGCTTCATTTGTTATAGCTCAAAACTGAAAACAACCCAAATGTCCATCAACATGTGAAAGGATAAAAAAATTGTGGTATAACCACACAATGAAATATTATTCAGCAAAAAAAAGAGAGAAACGAATTGTTGATCCATAAAACATATGAATGAATCTCAAAATAATTCTTCTATATGAAAGAAGCCAGAAAATAAAAAGAGTACATACTATATGAGTATAGTACAGACTGTATTTATATAATCCATAGTGACATAAAGGAAATCTGTGATTGCCTAGAGTTGGAGAGTTGGGGTGGAAAAGTAGGAGAGAAAAACTAGGAAGGAGCACAAGGAAAATTTGGAAATGATGACTATGTTCATTATCTTAACTGTGGTGATGATTTCACAGGTAAATAAATATATCAAAACTTATCAAATTGTGCTCCTTAAAAATCAGTAGTATATTGTATGTCTGCTGTAACTCAGTAAAGTTATTAAACAAGCACAACATATTACAATATGTGGCATGTTGGTAAAATAGTGGTTAGAGGGAAATTCATAGATTTAAATGTTTATATTAGAGAGAGTTCAAACTCAATTATTTAAGCTCTCATAATTATCTACAAAAAGGAGGACAGATTAAATATAAAATAAGAATGGCATAATGATCAATAAAATGCAATTTAAAAAGTAAAAAAAAAAATCAATAAAATACAAAACAGTTGAATACCAAAGAAAATCAATGAAGCCAAAAGCTCATTATTTGAAAAGATCAAGAAAGCTGGTAAACCTGAAGTCAAACTCTGCATGGAAGAAAGAAAGATGGTACAAGTTATCAATATGGAGAACATAAGTGGAGATATCACAACAGATCCTACAGACATCCTAAAGACTCAAATTGCCAAACTTGGCATTAGGAAAAAAAATAGAAATCTGAATAATCTTACATGTAGAAAAAAAATTGAATTTGTAATTTAAAAACCTTCCCACAAAGAAAACTCCAGGAGAAGACTGCTAAACTGATTAATTCTATCATACATTTAAGGAAGAAATAATACCAGTTTTACACAAACCCTTTCAGAGTATAAAGGTCAGAATAAACAAATAGAACATGATTTCATGAGGCCAGTATTACCCTGATATCAAAAGTAGATGAGGAAAATACAGAAAAAGAACATTGCATGCCATTATTTATGACAAACATAGGTGCAAAGGTTCTGAGTGCAGCAATATATTAGAAGATAACATCATAACCAAGTGAGGTTTAACCCAGGAATACAAAGTGACCTAACATCCCAAAATTAAACAACGCAATTCATGATTTTATGAGAATAAAGGAGAAAACTTCATATGATTGTTTCAACGGATAGAGAAAATTATTTTGAAATTTAGCGGCCATTTGTGATTAAAAAAAAAAAAAAAAAAAAAAAAAAAAAACTTCCAACAAACTGTAGATAGAAAAAACCTTTCTCAAATTTACAAAGAGCATGTAAAAAAAAATCCGCAACTAACAAAATTAATGCTGGAATCGTTTTCATTCTCTCTAAGATTGGAATTGAGACAAGAATGTCTACTCTTACCACTTTGTAATTTAACGCTGTTCTAGCTATCATAGCCACTGAAATAAGTTAGGAAAAAGAAAAAGAAATAAAAGGCACACAAACTGGAAAGGGAGAAGTATAGCTGTTTTTCTTTGCTGTCCTTATAATGAGTGAATTTAGCAAAAATCAATAGTATTTTTACACACTATCATTGAACAACTAGAAAATAAATTTTTTAAATGCAATTTTAATTACAATATCACATAAACATGTAAAATATTTAAGAATGTAATAAATCTATGTAAAACTTGTACTCTAAAATCATATAACATTAATATATAAATTATAAAACTATAAAATTAAAGCTTTATGAAATGTATAAAAACTATATAACTTATTTTAAATATTTATAGTTTTGTGTAGTTTAATATAGTAATTATTTAAATGTAAAGGAAATAAATATTTCAAATAGAAGGCAAAGATTGTCAGATTCAGTTAAAAATAAAAGTATATGCTGGTTATAAGAGACATTTTAAATATAACCATATAGAAAGATTGAAAATACAGAAATGTAAAAAGATGTGCTAGGTAAACATTAACCAAAAAGAAGCTGGTTCAGCCATTTCAATATCAAAGTAGATACTGAAGGCAGAAAGTAAAACTGAAAATATGGAAGAGTAAATCCAAAAGGAAAATGAATCACAATCCTGAACCAGTATGCAGTCAGTAGCACAGCTTCAAATTTTATAATGTAAATATTAAATTGAGAGAAATAGATATATGCATAATAATGTGGAAATAATTTAACACATCCTTCTCAATAACTGATAGAGCAATAAAATTAAAACCCAGCAATGACAAAGATCAGAATAACACAGTTAACTTTGAATGGACTGACAAATAGAGAACATCACATCCAACAATGATACATTCTTTCTACATCTACATGTAAACTTTACCAAAGTGACTAAATGCTGGATCAAAATTTGGAGTATTTTCTCTGAGCCCAAAAGAAACACTAATTAAGTTAATGCCAAATGAATCACCAAGAAATCCCCAATTGCTTAGAAATTAAACAATATACTACAATCTCTGCATCGAAAATCAAGAAGAAAAATTAAAATTATTTCAATTAATGATACTGAATCTATGGCATATCAAAACATGAGATGCAGGCAAAACAGGGAATACAGGAATCTTACATTGTTAAAAAGAAAGACAAAAATTAGTAATTTAATCTTCTATCTCAAAGAGCTAGAACAAAACTAAATCAAATGCAAAGAGGGTAGAAGAAAGGAAATAATACAGATACAGATAGCAGAAATTAAAGTGTTCAAAACGAAACAGTAATAATGCCAGAAGTTAGTTTATAAACTTGTTAATGTTAATAAACTTGATAAATTTTAGGCAAGAGCAATTAAGAAAAAAGGAGAGAGAAACCTGTCAATACTGTAAAAAATAATGAGACATCATTTCAAATTCTATAGATGTCTAAAAGATAATAAGATATTGTAAAGAGTTTAAACTAATAAATTTGACAACTTGAATTGCAATGGACAAATTCCTAAAAAAAAAAATCCACTTTTGCAATGCTAACAAAAGAATAAATTAAAAACCTGAACAGTCCAAAATCTATCAAAAAGTTTAGCATATTATTTAAAATTTCTCATAAGAAAACCTCAAATCTAGATAAATTCAGTCAACTCTTCTTTATATTTAAGGAAAAAATAACACTAATTTTCCACAAACTATTACAGATAGTATTTTTTTTATTTTTATTTTTTGCCAAGCTAGAGTATGGAACAGATAGTATTTTTTAAAACACTTCCCAATATCATTCATGGTGCCAGAATAACTTTGATCTTGAAACCAGAAAAGCACAAGAAAGGAAAATTACAAACCAGGCTTTCTCGTGAACTTACAGGCAAAAAGCCCAAACTTAATTTTGCAAATCAAATCAGTGATAAATAAAAGCTATGATACATCATGACTAATTGATGTTTATTCTAGAAATACAATAATGAAAATCAAGTAGTGCAATTTTCCACTTCAACAAGACAGAGAACAATTATATAATCACCTCAGTAGATATAGAGTATCATTTGACAAAATTCAATGAACATTTATGGTGAAAGCTTTTAGGTAGAAATAGTGGGGAATAATCTTTAATTTGGTAAAAAACAAATGAAATAAAGAGCAAATTTTATTCTTAATGGTGAAACACTGAAAGATTTTCCCACAAAATAAGAAACTAAATAGGAATGCCTACTATCACCAAGCATTATCTCCTTCTATTCAGCACGTACTGTGTATTCTAGCCAAAACAGTAGGAAAGAATAAGTAATTGATGGCTTAAGGACTGAAAGTGAAAAAATAAACTTGTCTTTATTCACTGGTAATATGATTGCATATGTAGAAGATCCAAAAACAGCTTTAAACTATTAGCATTACCAGTTTAATTTAACAGTGTTACTGGATACAGGATCAATATACAAAGATCAATTTTATTTCTATATATCAGCAATAAACAAATTGAAAATAAAATTTAAGAGAATCATAAAACTATAATAACATAAAAAATATCAGATACCTAGAAATAAACTTAATGAACCAAGTTAGCTACAGTAAAAACTACAAAACATTATTGAAAGTGAGAGATGAAAAGAGGGACTGTTTCTTAAATTGTGCTGGGACAATTGGATGCGTATCTGAAAAATAAATAAATTAG